GGGATAGCATTCCTAGTGAATAGAGCTACTCCTCCTACTTTACGCTTTTGTATTCTGTCGGCCCTTACTAACGTAAAACCCTCGAAATTAAGTTCCATACTATCTATAGACTGTCAGTCAGGTTTCTGTGACTGAGATTATGTCTAGCTTTGTAGAGTCAACCTGTACACCTAGTTCCGATCGCTTATTAAGTAAGCTTCGGGCACTAGTGTAACAGATCCGAAGCCTATTTAAGTGGCTTCGTGATTCACACAGAGTGGCTTCCGCATCATTTTCTGTCGAAGCTTTATAACCCGAAAATTTACAATTTTTATGTCCTTTTTGCCAGCGTCTAACCTCAGTTGTAGTTCTTTTTCGGCTTCCCGTTTTTTTACGCCGTCTGCCAACGTCAAGTCCTTACGGATAAAAACTCCTGAACCCTTTAATTTATGTCCATTCAGTAAAATGAAGTCGCGTTTATTCGAAGATTTGAATACCACTTTAAGCAGTCTGGATTGATTAGGCTTCAAATTAGCTAGACTACCTAGTTTGTACACCTTTAGCAAGGTGCCTCCCGGGAAATTTTGAGGCCTGAATTGATTAAGTAGCTGTTTTATCAGCACAATGTCGTGCTGAAAACGAGTTTTTGGTTCAGAGCTTTCACTCTCCTTGATTTTATGAAAAATAACTGATTTGTCACTGTGATCAGTCTTCGATTTCTCGACTACTTTTATGGGGGCAAGATTCCCTTTTATATCGTTATGTTGTTTCTTCTTTACAACCTGTACCCATTCGTCAACGTTGCTAGGAGAAGCAACTACAGTTGCGTCAAACATACTGTTGGATTCCGGAGGATTGTCGACGACCTGGGTGGTCAGGTTATGTTTTCCGCTAAAAACCGATCGAGCCTTGCGATTGCGGCTTCTAGGCGTTTCCTGCTGGATACCATTTAGAAGACGGGGGACAGGAGAAACTTCTTTTCTTGAGTTTTTGACTAAGACAGACCTCTTTGAAGACTGTTTTTCCTCCTTTGGTCGGTGTGAGTCACCTATTTTTGAACTCACCTGAGTTTGCTTCGCACCAATTGGCGTGTCGACAGAGCGAGTACTGTACGATGTATCCCGACCACGCTTGGCAAAACACTTTGTTGCAGCATTTACCAATGAGATGGCCTCGGCTAGCAAACTGTGTGCATCCGAACAGCACTGTTGACAAAGCCATACGCAACCGTTTTTACTGAACCGTTTGAAAGCCGCAGGTTTTAAATTCGTGCAAACTTCGTGGTACTAGCCTTTGCACTTATCGTACTGCATGCCGCTTTCAACGGGATAACGACAGCCCGGACGTTGGAAATCGCTTTTTTCTGCACTGTCCAGTCATTAAACAGGGGTCTTTTTTTAAAAAAAAAGAACTAGATGCAATAATACTCAGATACAAAAATGATCTATGACCAAAAAAGGTGAAAAACTGTAGATTGTTAGAAGCAAAAGTACTAACAGATACAATAGAAAACAAAGCACTCAAAAGTGTCGACGACAAACTAATTTAGAAACAGAAACGATACTCTAATCGAATACTTTAACTGAAACAAGTGAAAACAGTAGTCTTGATACGTAATAAACGATCAAAACAATAGAATTTACTCAGCAAGGAAAAATACCATTAAAATTAAAACACGAATTTCAGCGAAGGGATCTCTTTTCAACGAATTTATTATCAAGCTGTACAATCGTATATAATAAATTCGTTGAAAAGAGATCCCTTCGCTGAAATTCGTGTTTTAATTTTAATGTTTAAATGGGAATTATCTGTCAATTGAAAAATACCATTGTCCTTTTAATTAGCACGCGCTAAAATTTACTACCTCATCAGTCGACTTGCCATTCATACTTAGTCCCTGTTTCTAATCCACGCATTTGCTACTCAGGGGTCCCCAAACATACAAACAAAGCTTCGAAGACACCTATGATTGCATAGTAGTAATCTATGAATGTTCACTATACTTAATGACCACGTTGCACACTCATAAAGTAGAAAGGAGTGAACTGACACGCAATTAACTCGCCTTTTGGTCTGAAGATGGATATCTCGCCTATGCCATAAGTGATGCAAGTTGGCAAAAGCCAATCGAGCCTTCTCAATTCGTGCCGAGATCATCAGTACTGATGAGACCCTCAAAATAAGGGAAGCGGTCAAAGTATTCAATCACTTCGCTCCCTACCACTAACCCAGGCGATGACGCAAACCAATCCTGAAGTAAAATTTTACATCTGTAAGGATAGGACCGCGTCCCAAACATGCTTGCGATGTCGGTTAAAGAAAACATACTTTAATCTTTTCACCTGTAAGTGCTATGTTGAGGCAAATAAGATGGAGACATTATTGACGAATACCACTAGAAAGAACTTCATGAACTTGTCTTATCTTTTTTGGATTTAATCGATCTTACTCATAGCTGTTACTTACAACGAAGACGTTTAACTAGCGACTTAGTGATGATATTGGTGACTCTAATTTATGAACGAACCTTGAACGAATCTTGAGTGACCTTAACAATTATTAGTCAATCAGAAAACAGTTAGTATTAAGTAAAAAATATAGGCGAGACTCTAATTTATGGACAAGCCAATCAGAAGCGTTTGGGGAATCTCAAGGTCATGGAGACAAGTTCAACACCTGATGCTCACATACGATCGGTTTACAGTGGATTTTAGAGAAGAGGTGATTATTGAGCGGCTACAAGAGATGAGACTACTAAGAAGTTCCTGTACCTATGACTGCGGTTATCAAAGGACTGCAGTACAGTGTGCAGACTATCGTGATGAGATTGTATTTCGTTGTTCTTTATGTTGGAGAAAAAAGTCTGCTCGAACGAGGACTTTCTTCTCTCGATCGCGACTGAGACTGAGGTAAATCATGATATTAGCTGCAAATAGGATTATAAAGGAACCAGTGACACTGGCTGCGGCGTTTGCAGATGTTACTGAAACTTCAGCCGTCCGGTGGTATGAATATTGTCGTGATATATGTGCACCTAAAATGACATGTCTACACGAATCAGTCGGAGGGGTCGGAAGTATTGTGGAAATAGATGAAACAGTAGTGCGGAAGCGAAAATACAACAGGGATGTAGTATCAAGGAAGATTGGGTAAGTAGCACTTCCGTAAATGTACTTGGAATTTATGATCGCTCAACGCAAAAGGGGCATTTCCAGGGGGTGAGAAACCGTCAAGCAAATACAATAATACCAATTCTAAAGGAATACGTGCAGCCGGGCACTATGGTATATACGGATGATTAGAGAGCGTATAGATACCTTCATAGACTTGTGTATGTCCATCATGTCGTAGTGCATAAACGCCATTTTGTCGACCCTACTACCGGTGTTCATACTAACAACATTGAAGCCATATGGTCGAGATTGAAGGAATTTTTAAAACCGTACCACGGCTCCAGAGGACGACTATTATGGAGCCATATGGACGAGTTCCTATATCGTATGCATTATGATTTCAGAACATCTGAACCTTTATCAAACCTTAACAAGTTTTTAAATCAAGGAAAAGAAGAATATCCACTGTAATTCATTAGGTTCTTATAATATATTTTGGCAAAACTTATTTATAGACGGACCTTGAGCAAAGCTTAAGTGACCTTGACAATTATTAGTCAATCAGAAGACAGTTAATATAAAGTAAAAATATATTATAAGAACCTAATGAATTACAGTGGATATTCTTCTTTTCCTTGATTTAAAAACTTGTTAAGGTTTGATAAAGGTTCAGATGTTCTGAAATCATAATGCATACGATATAGGAACTCGTCCATATGGCTCCATAATAGTCGTCCTCTGGAGCCGTGGTACGGTTTTAAAAATTCCTTCAATCTCGACCATATGGCTTCAATGTTGTTAGTATGAACACCGGTAGTAGGGTCGACAAAATGGCGTTTATGCACTACGACATGATGGACATACACAAGTCTATGAAGGTATCTATACGCTCTCTAATCATCCGTATATACCATAGTGCCCGGCTGCACGTATTCCTTTAGAATTGGTATTATTGTATTTGCTTGACGGTTTCTCACCCCCTGGAAATGCCCCTTTTGCGTTGAGCGATCATAAATTCCAAGTACATTTACGGAAGTGCTACTTACCCAATCTTCCTTGATACTACATCCCTGTTGTATTTTCGCTTCCGCACTACTGTTTCATCTATTTCCACAATACTTCCGACCCCTCCGACTGATTCGTGTAGACATGTCATTTTAGGTGCACATATATCACGACAATATTCATACCACCGGACGGCTGAAGTTTCAGTAACATCTGCAAACGCCGCAGCCAGTGTCACTGGTTCCTTTATAATCCTATTTGCAGCTAATATCATGATTTACCTCAGTCTCAGTCGCGATCGAGAGAAGAAAGTCCTCGTTCGAGCAGACTTTTTTCTCCAACATAAAGAACAACGAAATACAATCTCATCACGATAGTCTGCACACTGTACTGCAGTCCTTTGATAACCGCAGTCATAGGTACAGGAACTTCTTAGTAGTATCATCTCTTGTAGCCGCTCAATAATCACCTCTTCTCTAAAATCCACTGTAAACCGATCGTATGTGAGCATCAGGTGTTGAGCTTGTCTCCATGACCTTGAGATTCCCCAAACGCTTCTGATTGGCTTGTCCATAAATTAGATTCTCGTCATGATATTTTTGTCACCTACAAATAAAATCAATATTGACAGATTTCCTCTTAAATGTAAATTATTTTCTTTACTGAGGCCAAATGCGCAGAAAAGTTAATGAACCTAAGCACGTAAAGGCAAACGTCAACATTTAGAAGGGATTTAGAATATCCAATATTTAAGAAAAACTACGGTTTTTCTTACAAACTCTTGGGAACTTCAACAGCTAAAAATCTTGGTTTGGTATGATATGAAGCTCAATAGGGAGAAAAGAAACAAGGAAAATGTTGAAGAGTGTGCAGCAATCTAAACAAGACTTAGAACTATCATACGTTATCTCAACGTTCCGCAAGCACTTGAATTTTCCTCATTTCTGAAATTGAAGATCACTGCTAATTCACGTTCCGATAATAAGGGACGGTTTCAGATCATTAATAATGCCTAGTGAAGCATGTAGAGCTGCATAACTTTATTATGGCTAGTTACTTCGGTTGACATCCTAAGGTTGGGGGTAGGTGTTGTGTCGGTAGATAAATTTACGTACTAAATAATTCCGTAAGATTTCGAGATTGATGCTGACCGCATTAGTTTTGCAGAGCACACCCTAATGAAGGTGACTGATCGCGCATCTGCTTCAGATCATCAATAGGGATCACGGGCTACGCAACCCTCACAACTACTAGCCAGTTTAGATCAAACAGTTCTCTACATATAGACAACTTTCTACATATATATTTGAACTCTTTCGTTCCTGGCTTATGGTTTGAATGGGTTGGTACCTTTTGATTATAACGGAGTTGCGGACAAAGACGTAGTCAAGCCCGGAATATCCATGTTATCTTCGGTGTCATTGATTTGTAGTGATAGGGTATCACCAAGCAGTATATTTGTTGGTCATATAACGAGAGTAAGGAAGCAATGGGAGAAAACGAAGGAAAACGAAAGGGGTAAAAATAAACAGACGAACTGATAAGTGGTGTTGCAAAAGGTCAGGAAGTAAGGAACAATGGAACTTTGAAGATAAGTAACTCCCTAAGAAATTGATCCGTAGAGGTTTTACACTGATGCTGAACTCATTATATATAATTGGCTTTCAGTTAGCTGTTTTATTCGTGTTTAGACATGGTTCATATGTGACCCCAAGATTATCCTAGGTAGTTAACCTAATAGTTCCGGATCAAACTATCGAATTCTCCTGCCAAATATGTTCTTCTACCTAACCCTTATCGTTTTCTTTCTTTGTTGTCTCTAGGTTGGTATACGTGATGGACATTCGTATAAGGCTATTCTAGTTTCCGGGCGGACCAATTTGACCTTTTCACTTACTCTATCATTAACCTCGACCGTTTCCATGTGATCGTATGTGTGTTAATGGCTTGCCCTGCTCATTAAGTGTCTGTAATTTATTTTTTGATCTGAATATAAATACTGAGTAACGCTTGATTAAATTGGGTTTGATAACTCGTCTTCTCCACTGAAAGCCATTTTGTTTTTCCTTTCTCTCTCCTTCATGTTTTCTCTAGTTCGTTTCTTTGATTGTCTGTTCAGATCGATGGGTATACGAAACACAAGTACTCGAACTCGATTCTCGCATTTGACTTACTTGATTTCGTCATTCACTAATGCGAATTACATCGATAATCACGTACGAGAGTACACGGAATGCATATTTCAGTACAATCATTTAGTAAGTCATCAAACAACCTAACTGGATTCAGATATCAAGCCATTAAGGCGGTTAGCCCGTCGGTAACGATCATCGTTTGGTCGAAAAGGAGTCAGGTACACGTGGGCGACTAAAATGTATGACAGTTTCATGTATGCTTTCTGGCTATTGAATAGCCAGTCTTCCATGCAAAAGAACCTCTTTTTCTTCATCTAGTACTTACCTGATGTTAGAATTGGGGCAGTAATGCCCATTTTTCGTAGTTTTGGTGATTGTGACACATTCAGAGCCATATTGAAAGATGACCGCTAAGTTGTTTGTGTGTGCTTGCTGCAGTTGATAAACCGTTTGACAGTCAAAACTCATAATATGTTTAAAACTCGGAATATTCCGTTCCTGATATCATAGTTATGTGTATCGGACGGGATGGTATTTAACAATGAACTAGCCCGACTTCTACTATTTTCACTGTAAATTTTGCATACTTTGAGTAATCATTTCAAAAGTCCTGTTTTGAAAAACGGTGGAAGAAATAGACGTTTCGGTTGTCATAACTGGGAACACAGACACCTAAATTGAACAGACTTAACAAAAAGTGTCTCAACTCGAGAACAATAACGTCAATCACCAGGGTATTCAGATTTTGCTTACATAAACATAAACATTCATTATAAACTGAGATGACGCTCGGTACGAATGGTACTGGGCTCAAGTTCCGGAGTAAACATCACTGTGTGATGCAAAAATGTCCAGCGAACGAGTCCCAAGTAGAACGATACGCGCGTCCTTGATTCTACAGCTGGCCAGCATCATCTTTGCCTGTAATGCCTGTGGCTTAAGGCAATCCTCACAGGTAAACAAAATGATGCATTTGTACATTTCTGTGGTATAAGTATTTAATTTGGTATCAAAAGATGCAGATTTTATGAACGTATTTCCGGTAGGTGAGGTTTGATATAATTACTTTACGTTAGACTTGAGCTAATAGTCACGGAATGACAATGAGGGATTCTAAAAATGGTTGTAAATTCAAAAATACAAATGTTTTTGTGGTATTTGTATGAACTGATGATTAATTTGTACTTTATGACTTCCTGATTTGAGATTCCAAATACATTAGGTTGTGCTCACTTAGTTCTGTTTGGTCCAAATTGCGTTATTTCTGGTTTTCCTAGTTCGTACAATGATTCGAATACTCCTAATTATCACATTATCGTCGCGATGGAGCCTGTGTCGGCACAGTTAGATATATATTCAGATTTTGATGCCTTTGGGGATTATATGGAAAGGTTGGAAATCTGGATCATAACAAAGGGGAATGTTGAGGATGTTAATATTGTAGCTCATTTCCTCACTACGCGACAGCTTAGGTTGGTTAGTTAAGAATTCACCCCAAACAACTAAGCATATGTCAAAACAGTATAGTTCAAGTATTCATTCACTCCCTCATTTTGTATAAGCGTTATATTTCCTATTATCTTATATTGAGTGTTGAGAGGCTTTGTTTGTCTGAACAAATAATCCCACGCTCCACTGTGAATGCACGAAGATCTAAATAAAGACCTATTCACTACTTGTCTGGTTTCTTCTATCAATAACATGAGGTTTGACTACAGACAGGAAACTGGCGAGCCCTATTGAACATAAATTTAACCTTATTTTTGTTAGTAATGTTATTTTTTTTACTTAGCCGTAAAAGTAGACCTCCTGATTATCCGTAAAACAAGTTGGGTATACACATAGTTTATTTTTCTTTTATCTTAAGGTATTCGTGTTGTAGTAACCATTTTTCGTTCTAATTTTATTATTTCATCGGTCACATACCTCATATCAAACTCAATACAAACCCAAAATCTGGAGGATTTGTCACCAGGGGAGATAGACACTATTATGACTACGACATTCCGACTTCCAGAATTTGATCGTAGTGATCCTGAGTTGTGGTTTGTTTAACTGGAGCATTATTTCATGAGACACAATATCAAATCTGGTGGAATTCACTACAAAGACTTGTGTGTTATCCTTCCTCCTTCAGTCGCCAAAGAAGTCTGTGACTTGATTTTAAGTCCACCATCACCACAACTATACACCATCTTAAGACGAGGGATGATGAACCGTTTATCATTATCAGACAGTCAAATAATCCAAAGGCTTTTCCAAGGAGATAAGTCGCCGTCACAGTGTTTACGTCACCTTCAATCTTAATGGGTGATAACACAATTGGTGATGCAGTCCTAAAACAAGGATGGACACAAGCTCTCCCATGCTACGTACGACATTGTTTGGATACACAAGATCCTGAAACCTCATTATCTCATTTAGCGCGTTTAGCTGATAGAGTAATGGAAAGTGGTCCTCTAACTGGATCAGGCACGATAAATCACACACAAAAAGAAGAACAAGCAAAAAGCCCAATCATAGAAGGACTCATCGTGAGTGTCAAAAGTCTCATTAAGGCTCTCTACAGAATGCAAATCGGTCGTAGAAACAGGAGTAGGTCACCGCAACGACCAAGACCCAAGTCACAAGACAGACCACAAATATCCAGACAATCTGGGCAGTTCTGTTGGTATCACTTCAGGCTGGGCAGAAAACTTTAACACTAGATTAGGGGGTTCAGGAGACAATTCCCCTGGGTTTTCACTGTAACCGATTTAGATCTGGCAATACTTGGGATGGACCTCCTAGAGATATATGAATTTCTAGTTGACACTAAGAAACGACGTTTAGCACTGAAAGAAACTTCGAATTACCCAAAAGGCAAAGAAAGTCACATCAAATCTCTTAACTTGATTCAAACTCCTTCAGTAACAAAAGCGAAATTCCAAGATATAATCACAGAATTTCCAAACTTAACTAGACCAAACTCACAGCCTACCAAGGACAAACTAAGAGTAAGTCATACTATCAAAACCGAAGGTGCACGTGTGTTTGCAAAACCCAGGAGACTAGCACCAGATAAGCTCAAAATCACCAGGGCTGAATTAGACTATATGCGACAACTAGGTATTATCCGTTCCTCTGATAGTCAATGAGCACCCCCTTCGAATATGGTCCCAAAGAAGAATGAAGGCGATAGGCAACCGTGCGGGGATTACAGAGGCCTCAGCCGTCAAACCGTACCAGATAGGAACCCAATACCGCATACCCAAGAGCACACACTAGTGAAAATGGTTCTTTAAGACTTTTTGGAGACGGTACATTTGTCAGTGGAGCCAGTCGTTTCATATCTGCTCTAAGACCATTATCATCAACTAGGTATTCAAGATATTCGAATCGAGATACACAAAATAAACACTTATCTGGATTCACTGTAATATTCTAATCAATTCAAGGGCGTAATAAAGCAACACGTCCCCTGGTCATGAGCTACTTTATGAGAACCATGGACAGTAAGATCATCTTGATAAACGTCAACAACTTTAAGATCACAAGTAGCATTATCCATCACTTCCTAAAATATGGTTAGAGAGCAACTTAAACCGAATGAAAGGAACGTGCATTTGAATCGACTGAAAGGAGTGTTAATTGTCGTCAAAATAGATAGATATTCATCTGCGAACATCTCGAGAAAAGCATTTTTTAATTCAATTTTTGGTGTACGAGTGAGAATATGTTCAGCTTCCACCGTCGTGCATGTGTAGTGACCTACTTTTATCAAGAGAACAAGAATGGTTTAATGGAAACAATTATTATTATAACCAATTAC